TAGAGAGAGAGGAAGGGGAGAGAACGAGAAGTACCACCGAACAGGAGAAGTAGTTTTGACTAGGCTCGAGTCTCGTTTACATTCTCACATCACACTCATTTCAAGAGCAATGCATTCACACAACGCGCGTGCAATGGGACGCAATTGCATGCGATCACATTGCAGCAGCAGAGGCATAATTGTTTTAGGGGAGGATGCAGAGATTCGGTTTCAATTGCACTCATTTCACGCTTGATCGGTAGCCAATTCACATGTCATCCTCAGCAACTTATCTTAACTTGTGAGCAAAAATTTATGCAAAACATAGAGTATCCAGCCAAAATATCAGATGCAAAGTTGGACCAAATTGGAATATAAGAAAGAAGTAGGTTTGAAGCCGACCACCTTTGTTGACTTTGAGTTTTTGGCGAATTCTCGTTAGAAATGGTGTCCATCACATGAGGGGGCGAAAGCTCTGCAAGTATTGATTGGGGTAAAATGGCGGTGAGTCAAGGTTCCATTGGCCCAACCAAGGCAACCCCCTCCACAGCCTACAGTGTTGCCAATTTGCGAATCTTTTTCTGTCGCCTCTTCAAGCTAAATGAAGGGTACTCCAACATGAAATAAAAGCTACTCGAATATATTGGTCTAGTTGACCGATTGAAAAAATCTCTGGATGTATGAGCGATCAAAGGGGTTTCTTAACTTAACCTATTAAAACGCTGGAAGGAGATATCTCTAAAGTTATTAAGCAAATTCGAATTGCGAAACTAATACATTTTTATAGGTTGATTTTATTTTAATGCTAATTGAATTGCAAATTGATCATTTACAGGTGCAGTGTTTATATGCCCCAGTCTTAATGAATAGTATGTGAATATTTCACAGCCTTATTTTAGTTTAAGCAGCAGATATTCAGAATTTATCCCGAGCAACTTCTTGCATATACAATCTTACTACGTGTACTTATTTATCCAGTGTAGGCATAATTAAGAGAAATGATATTATTTGTTGGTTAGTCAGGGACACAATTAGCCATATAACTCAGGACATACATTGCTCTTTCACATCGCATTTTATAGTGGGATGGTCGCTCAAGCATACTTGTATTTGTTATTACATTTGACTACAATGGTTAGGAAACTACCACCTTATCCGACCTGGACTGAATACAGCCCTTATTCAAGATCTACAGGTGATTTTGAGGTCCACTCAAAGTGAAAATAGATCTGTCCTTTTCTAAATAAAGTGACGGTAATCCTCCGAAAGGCCAGATTTTGTATTGTCTGTAAGTGTTTATAATCCTTAATGACTCTGCCTATCTTCCAGTAAGTGCTATCCATTTACTATGCGAATAAAATTTGTGTTTCGAGGAATCTCTTGTTTCATAATTGTTGTGCTTACTTCCATTTCGAGTGAAAGTGAAGAGTTTGGTGAAGAGATTTGACCTGGCGGAATCGACCTTCGAATCTCTTCGCCAAACAAATTCACTCGAAATGGAAGTAAGCACAACAATACCCATTTTCTGCTGAACCATTTGCAACCTGTGAACTGGAGCAATAATCATTTTTCTCAACAGGATACTACTCAGTTTACATTATCAAATGGGCTATCTTCACATAAAACCATAAGGTGTCGTACTGTTACCGGCCACTATCATTATGCTATTTGTACGCTGCCATATTCCCATCGATTAAATACGGCTCATTACACTGTTGCTGGCGACAGGATGGTCAAAATATGTCAGAAATGGCATTACGTCATGGAGCTGATATGGAACGAAGTCTTGATCTAAGTAGTGAAGCTCAAAGCTGTGCTACGAAAGCATTGTCTGACAAAAATGTATCTGGTAAGTTGACTTTTCGTACTATCTTGGCTTTGATATCTAATTTGTATTTAGATTTTTTTAGTTTCTCACTAAACAGGGACGCAACAAGTGGGCTAAACTTTTTGATTATCGAATTCTTTTTATATTTTTAATTTCCTGAACTCCAATTTTTGGGGCGTCTCTTCAACCCAACTTCGTATGCTCCCTGAGGTGGGTCCAGCAGAAGTTGGAAATTAATTGATACAATGGGATCCTTCTATAGGTTGCCTACAGTGAGCATCGTGATTACATTTTCCCATTTCGCCACACATCTACTGGTGTGAGTTGGTCACTGGGCAAGTCTCGATTATAATCAGACTGTCAGTGAGACAAACATACATTTACTATTAAAATAAGCAACGTTACTTATGCTAGATTTGAGTAGGCTTCAAAATTGTCAGTAGCTTTGAATAAGAACTTATTCACCCAGGTGAGATTTTTTCTACTATAGACTGGCTAAAGTGATTAACTTCTTTTATTAGTTTTGGAAAGTATTATAACCGAATATGAGGCAAATACATGTTTGCCTCGTCGACAATCCCCCTACAAATATTATTTGTGAGAGGTTTATTTTGTCACATCTGCCCTGCGATACACCGGCACCGGTTTCTGTCTAACGGACTTACATCGTCAGGCCTACTCATCTCATTATAGGGAAAATTAAACTATCAGTCCTTAAATCCCGTTAAGCTGTCTGGGATGACTAAGATCTTATTAAGGAATATTTGATGATTTCAAAACACTCTCAAAAATGTTTGCTAAGACTTTATGGCAATGTAGGCGAATGAATCTTCCCTTCTTGAAGATGCAACTCCAGGTCTCAGCATCAAATGAGGCTGATTCAAGCAACGTTTCCTCCTTGAAAGAGTTAATGTCGCAAAAGTCTAGGCGACTTAAATGATGCGACCCAAAAACGGAACTAAACTGTAATTTTTATGATTTGGCTAATCACCTCGCCCATCGAAGGGTGGCTTTTTGATAGAATACCTCGTTTTGTTTATGCAGGACATAAAAAATTATGAAAAGATACACAATTTTTTGAACGGGCTCATGAGGATTGAGTGCGTTTTAATCCACAATGTATAGGAAGATATTCTTCTCTTGCATTTTGGGACGCATGGCGCAGCACATCTCAATGCGAAACCAAGTGTTTCTTCACTTTATCTTGGTTTAGATTAAATTATGCACCTTGACTACTGTGAGCAAAATAGGTACTTAAAACATTACAGCAGTCCGCTTTATTTGTGTAGGTGATAAATACTACTTCATTACCATATGAGTAGCTTTCGAGAGTATCAGTAATTTTTGAATAAGAATTAAGTCATCCTAGGTAGCTTAAGGTGAGTTAAAGACAGATTTTTAAGTTTTTCCCACATTCTGATTGAGAGGCCTCACAATATTATTAATTTTCACTTAACACTGCCTTCTAACTCTTTTTGGCGACCTATTCATCTAATAGTGGGAAAAACTCAACTATCAATCCTTAAATCACTCCTTCGAGTTTATAGTTATCATAAATACTACTGATTATTGCTTATAGCGGCCCAATTTAATCGAAAACTCCTCAGCACATCATTTTCGGGTGCTATATTGTCAAAATCTCCTTATACTCAAATGTTGTTCGACATGGCAGGATTAAATACTAGTTTGTAATAAGCCTTAAAGGGCAAACTACTCATTGTGTTATTATACAGGCCCAGTAAGTGCACAACCTGACTGTCTGTATGCCTGTATTTGCTCAACAACTCCCTCCCGAGGTAAACCCACCCTGAGGTCGTCAACATACAGGGACCGACAGGGTACCAGTTGACGCGAGGCTACCGGTCCATCTTTTCAGCATGCTTGGATAGACCTCAGAATCTTGACGACCTTCAGGCAGGAGTCATTCACAGATAATTGTTAGCTTATTTCCATTCACATGTAACCCGAGTGCTTATTTCTGCCAGTTGCACTTCTTCCTAGATTAGACCATTGCGGTCACAGCAATGATCCACTTTTGATTACTTATATTTACTACTAAACACGGTTCAAATTGCAATATTGCAAACTGCCCTAGGCTCATTTGCACATCTATTTCTTTGTATGCATGCACTCAAACGCATACACACTCATGCATTCACACACATGTCAATGCATCGTTGTATGATGCATATATACACAGTTGTCTGTATGGACTTGCTTGGTTCATACACCATATTTTAATGAGCTTGACTTTGTCTTGCTTTCTTGCCGTCTATGCGTTTGTGCTTAGCCACAGGCCCCTATTGAGGCCGCAAGCCTGAGGCATTAGACGAGTAGGCAGATTTGAAACGCAATCGCGCCTTCGAGCCGCGCAGATGTATAAAACCGTACTTGCAGACTATCTACCTTCTAATGTCATGGCGACCGTGTGCCCTCGACATAGTGGATTTTGTATGGCAGCCTGCCAGAACTACTCTACATGCTCTGGTTTCATGAAAGACGAGGCGAATTATGACAGGGTTCTGTGGGCCAGTCTACATGTCAGCAGCTCAGACTCACCCTAAGATGCCAGTATGTCTCAACAATAGATCATATGTGAAAACACAAAAGTGCCCCATTTGCTCGAATTTGATGTGCATCTAGACGCTCCTTCGAATTTTCACGTCAGGAACTACTTGACATAGGCTCTCAATGTGTGATTTAGACCGATTTTGAGCATTAACTTACTCAATCAGTGCAAAAACTGTGATTGTGCCTCTTGCCATTTCGTCCCTTCCTTTACGTCTTGTTGGCATTTTCAAACTCGAACAAATTGCCAAATATAAAAAAAAGATGAGCCATCTTCTCAGATTCCCTCATCTGATCACTCACATACCAGCCATCATACTAGGCTAGGTTGATCGACCCCTACACACACACACATATACACACATGCACATGCATACCTAGACCATTCCAATTGCAAACCTGTACTAGCCAATGGACACGAGGAAAAATCATTCATAAAGTGATTCTGTGGTCCTAGGGACACTGTATTTCGGTTAATCATACCAAACTTACAGGCACACTGGCCTGGTTACAACTACGCATAGCCAAATGATAATATTGACGACTCATCATTCTGTATCCATCATGCTTTGTCCTTGTTCTCTGTCAACAGGCGAGCCTATTTCAAACGAGACCGATCGACAATCTGGACAGTGACAGGACTTCAATACCCGGAACCTACCGACTAAACCAACCCACCATTGCCGTTGAGCAGTTGACTACCATCGTCAAGCCTACACCGGCTGTTTCAGAGCTCAAAATGGCCGCTGCTTCAGACGGCTACATCGGCGAGCTGGAGACCGACAGTGTCTCCGAGCTGATGGAAGTTCCACTCGTGAAGAAAGCACCTGTACCGGTGGTTTCAATGTTGAGAGCTCACAAAAATGCTTCCGCACCACACATAACGACAACAAATGTGCTCAGAAAGACCACGAAGCAGGTGGTTCTGGAGAGGAGCGAGGAGGCTGGAGGTAAAGATGAGCCGGATTATGCTGAACAAACGGTGGAGAAGACGACAATGCCCAGAAGGAGCATCCTCAAGGCCTCGTCGCCTTTGCTGAATCATTCTCAACTCTATAGAAGTTCAGGCACCACTTTTATCTCCGATCCACACAGTGGCTGTGTCATCATTCCAAGGAGTACCAGCTCTGCCGTTTCAACAATGGTACAGACACCGGCACGAGAGGCGAGCAATTTGAGCGCAAAACCGGCTCGTCTTGGGGAGCATCTGGTACGAGATAGCCTCGAATTGTGTGATTCAAAGCTACAGACTCCAGTCTCGTCAGGACAACAGAGTCATGAGTCGAAGGAGGGTACACGATTGCATGGATCCGAAGTGGGATCATCCTCCGTGCCTGGAGGAGATGTAGCTGGCAGGGATTTATCTATCACGTCTAAGGAGCCTGAGGCTGGGAGTGATGCCAGGTTGGCAAGACGTTCCACGTCGCCTCACGGAAGTCGAAAGTCCGTTCGATTTGCTGAAGACACGCCACGCTGGTTGGCCCCATTTGCTGTTGTTGTGGCTGGCAAGAATTGCTCCATTCAGCTCACGTCTGTATGCACCACAGGCCAGTCTCAAAATGACGAAAAACTGAAGCCCACCTCGCTTTTACTCCCAGTCCAAAGCCAACCACCTCCGCCCTATTCTGTGCTTCCACACTCATCCTCCTCACCAGCACCACATGGCAACCAATCGCCGCCAGCACCATCATCACACTCATCTACAACTCCGATTGAGACGTCGAGAAATCCGGTTTCATCTCTCGAGCGGCGGCTTGAGAAACAGATTCTTCGAGACCAGGTGACTATGCTTTCTGGAGAAGGCTGCGAACCAGATAAGTTACGGAATGATAGTGATTTCGCTTCTGGTGATTGTTTCAGACAAATGATGCTCAGGCGACACGAAATCAGGGACCAATGTCGAATTGGCGTCTCCGAGGCTGATTCAGACGAAACATCTAAACAGAGCAAGTTGTACTTGTTTCTATTTTCCGTCTGTGCTCCTCCAGACTGGTGGAGTTGATTAATATCAGTGTTATTGAGTATAAAACAACTATACTGAAAGCAGTATTTAGCCTCTACTTAAATACTCAGAAGTAATAGCTGCGAAGTATTATAAAATAAGAGAATAGAGTGGCCATGTCAATGATTAGCATTTGTCATTTTCAGGCGTTTGTCTCTTACATTATTACAGTAGTAGCAGTAGATAAATTCTAATTATTTATAATTTTAGCATAATCATTTGTTATGCGTTTGCCTTCGTTTCGATAATGGTTTTTTCATTTTGTGAAAAACTTCTAAACTGCTCTCCCCCACGCGAATGCATAATTTCTGGAAGTAATTTTATTAAAATAAACTCGCAAAAAAGGAGTGACTTGGTTAAATACATTTTTCTCTACATGCTCATTTTCTATTGACTTTCCATCAGTGGTTTGAGAGCGTTTGATCCCCATAACTTGCCAGACGGCTTACTGATCCAGACTGAGATTCAATATAGTAGAGATGAAAATATTATATTTTTTGAATATATGAAGACCAAGATGTTGTGGCCTCTGGTATGTTCGCAGTCTCCTTTCGATTTATAGAAGTTGGTTGATCTCTTTGTTGCAACTTGGTCTTGTTGTCAGGGCGACTTAGTAGAACGCACCTATTCCGAGTGGAATGTAAACAAGTGAGAATTTGTGTTAGGACGGCGGGGGGATAAGAGTGTAAAGAGTAGATAGATAGGCAATGACAGAAAGAGGAGTGATAGTGTAACCGTTTTCAGCAGAACGGTTGTCGAGGCATTGACTTCATTTGTCTCTTTGACGATTTTGTAGCTTGGTGCGGAGAATGGCAGCACTCACTGATGATGCCGACTACGATGCCGGCGAAACGTTTGAGAATGTATTAAGTCCACTGTATGATGCTAGAAATCAGGACAACTACTATGGCAGACGCATTCGGACTAGGTGCTTTTTACTCTAGTCGCCATGACAACAATACCAAGTTGCGACAACGAGGTCAACCCACTTGAATCATATTTTTTGTTTATAAGTAGGATTTCGAGACTACCAATTAATCTGTTTTACAAGATGTATTCACCCTATTTCGTTTAAGGTGATGAATGCCTAGTAGTTTAATTTCCCCACAATTATATGAGTAGAACTGGTGCATTTCTAATGAATTTCAGATAGCCTTGATTTCCCCAAAAGGTGTTCTCATCCATGGTGGGCTGCAGTTTCGGCCTCGCCTAGGTCTTATCAACAGCCCCAGAGGGACTCGAACTATGACAGTGTAGCGTATAATCTTGACACGCTAACTACTAGGCCACATTGCCACGAATGTTATTGGGTCACAGGGCGGATGTGAATTCCAAGGAAGATCAGGTACTTGCCATATCATATTCTTTAGTGGGATTGTCGATGATACAAGGTTTTATTTACCATAACAATTGACTAATTTACTTATTTTGCGTTTATATGACTGATTTCCCTACAATTTTTATGAAATGACTTTTTGGATTAAAGGAGAAGTTGGTTGGAGGCAATTTGTTAATTGGCCTCACCAGAAACGTATGGAGGACTGTAGGATTGTGCGAATAAGTTTCCGGCTTAAGGTCCCTAGACTTTGCTGAAGTGGTGTTATGCTGTCGTCTTTCATTTATTTGGCAAATTTTTTTCGTCAACAATGGTTTATGCTCTACTGATGT